GTGTTACACTTTTTGCACTGGTGTTACACTTGAACTGCACTGCTCTCAGCCAATCAGAATCGAGTAATTTTTTCATGTATATTATTATAATAGTAATAGTAATAATAATAAACCAACGAGTAAACGATGTTTTCCTAAGACTTTAGATTGTCAGACGCGTAGTTAGAAGCTTACATCAAGCTACGGGCTTTTGGTGAATGCAAAACCTATCCCATTATGATTTTCGACTTCTTTTAAACTTCAGGAGTGTTCGAAGTTGGAAAAACCAATGGAATACCTTTCTACAAGAACAAGGCTTCTGGCTGGTACTTGGCCATAAAACCTAACGGACAGGTCTACATGACGGTAAGAAACATGATCACCAAAACAGAAAGCGAATCTTTACCGAGGTCAGCTTAGCAATTGGTCAAACTTTTGCGCTTTTTTGTTCTTTTTTACGAGGCATTGGCTTTTAGCGTGGCAAAAGAATTAATCAGTACATCAATTGATCGTACCATTCGTAGTTAACACTTTTGTAGCTCAATCAGATTCAAGCGCCGTTCTGCCAATAAGGCAAACAGTGCAAACAAGGATTCATTCTCCGTTCGAAGAATGGGCGAGCGGAACTGGTGCCTTACTTCCAGTTCTCGCGCGCCATTTTTTGCTAATTTTAGCTTGCCTCCGCTTGAAGTTTTCACACGGCCATTTCTTTCGCTTCTGGCTGGCCGATCCAAGGACGAAATGCCGGGACTGCTCGAAGCTATGAATATAGCACAACTACGGCGAAACGGCCATTCTTAATTTTCTTTGATTGTCTTTCTACTGGATATTGACCTCGTACAATTTGTCCTCGCGAGTATGCACAAGCATGATGTTTGTTTGGTTCCCGGCCGTAAACCATGTTTTAATTAGAGATTATAGCCTTTGATGCCACTTATTTGATACTCCAATGTGTGGGTCATGTAGTAACTCCCGTAAGGTCTCACATGAATGTCTCACATGAATTCACTTCAGAGAAACAAATAACAGAAACAATACACCGTCGTTTTCACATTACGTCGCAGAGGTCACATAAACAATAAAGACCCATCTTTTTTCGGGAAATTTCCTGTAGTTTGCAAACACTGTGCATAAAAGGGTGCAAAACATAGTTAATAGAGGGGAATGGTTATGAAGCCTGGCAAACATCAAAAGAGCAAACAAAGATACCAAAATTTATGTTGGAAGGTCCACGAAACGTGCACAATCTTTTGTTTTGCGTTCATACACTATGCTTGAATTACGTAACCAAAACGTTTGGATTGGTTAGTTCCTCGGTCAGTAGTAAACAACTATTGTGTTTTGTGCACGGTCAAGGCCCAAAAAAGAGAACAAAAACATACAGCAAAGAACTTTGTCGCGTTTCATAACCATTCCCCTCTATTAACTATGGTGAAAATCTACACATCTTGTTTACGAAACAACATTTTCTCTTTCAGCCAGTGGAGAACAACGACACGCAAATCTACTCCGTAACAGACAGCACAGATCAACACATTGTTTACTTGTATCGTATCGTTATTACTTCTGGCGAAAAAAAACGTCTATACCTGGATATTACTCCACAGAGCAGGACAGTAGACGTTAACTCTACCAACCGCACAACACAATTCAATGTTAGAAGCGGCAAAAAAACCTGTTAGTGCGTAACCCCATTATAGGACATTTTATCCATCTTTAGAACTTATCAATCCCTTAAAAGTTAGAACTATCTCTAATAAGTTTTAAGTTTCGTTTCGCTGTAACGTTGCCAATAATTGACTGACTAACTGACCGGCTGGCTGACCGACTGACTTACTGACCAACTGGCTGACTGACTGATTGATTGATTGTTTGATCGATCGATCGATTGATTGATTGATTGATCGATCGATCGATCGATCGATCGATCTCTGACAAAACGAGTTGAAGCTCGAAATTTCAACTAATTAAATCTTAATTTTACTTTATCGAGTCGATATAAGGTAAATTTCCAATCGATTTGGACGGTATTTAAAAGCAAGAAACCAATGAAAATAGGACCGCATTAGCGTTATCTTTGTGTTTAGCCCTTGCTGCTATTAATTGCATTTTGAATCTTTTGTTGCGATTGCGTAAGAAAACAAAATTGTTAAGCCAAACATATATGTTTCAAATTAATTATCAATCAGCGACTATGCAGTTATCACACTTCTGATGACAAAACATACTTTAACTACATGAAAAAACAAAATATATTAACAAGAACGAATAATTTATAAAATAAGTATTTTTGAAGAAATGCGACGGACCCTCCATTCAGGCAACACTGTACAAAGTGGAGCTTCTCCCCTTTCAGCCGTAAGTTCAAATTACGAATTAATATACGAAATTACGAAGTAACCCATAAAGGAACAAGGATGGTTAAGGATGGAGAAGATTAACACGGATTACAAACGAAGAACTTGGAAAACTTAGGCTAAACTTTTCAAAATGCGCAAACCTTGATGCAGCTCTAATCAGTTAACCTCGCAAAGGCAACCGAACATTGCTGAGTGGTTTTATTACTCACGCTCGAGGCATGTCCACAATTCGCTTCTAAAACGAACGCAGCTTTTCGCATCCATCGGGAGGGCCATGCAGACTGGTTTCTTAAATACGATTTCAATCCCTTTGGAAAATGTACTCTTTGGATTGCATGGCCAAAACACTTCAAGTAACTTGAATTCACTGAATTAACTCTTACAACTAAGGATAATTAACTTAAGCAACAAACTCTATCGTTAAACAACTAAGCATCAAAAGGCACAAGAGGCTCACGCTGTCAACAGTACTAATTCAGTCTGTTCCCATAATTAGATAGGAAATTGTAAGACAAGAAACAATTAAAATACATTGAAATTATAAATGAGAATTGTTCCACTCTCGTTATTACGTTATTACTTTTGTCCTTAAAAGAAACTTGTAAAAAAGAAGGAATAGAATAGGAGGAAGTGGGGAACCGGAGCAGAGAGGGGGTGGGTCATCAGTTTTTGAGCCCAAAATAAAGGGTGGGTCGTTCAATTTTGAGCTACGCATGGGGGTGGGGAATCCCGCTTTATAACAGGAATTGGCATTCACTTGACACAACCGACAACAGAGGTGACTCCTTGCAGCTCCGTGGCTGAAAGAGTACATGGGCTGGTGTACAATAGAGATGGCAATTTCATGTGGTGTAAAATCTGTACGAAAGCTAAGGCGTCTTACGGAATGAGCAAGGAGTCCAAGGGAAAAATTTTCATATTAATACTGCGCTCTTTCGACATGCTGGTCTTCAAGAACACCAAATAACCAACTTGTGCTTACATGCTATTCGTTCCAAGGGTACGGGACACATGTTCATGGATCTGGAACTCACACTCTTAGGCCCGAGACTCGTAGTTTGCTGGCTGTTCGAGTACCAAGATATTTTCAACCCTCATTTTGGGGTGGTCACTCAGTTTTGCACCAAATGGAAGGGGTGGGTCATGTGTTTTCTAACCACGAAATTTTCCGCCCCGCTCCCTGTACTTTTGTCTCAGTTGGTTATACCTCTAAAAAGGTTTCATCCCAAGATACTTGATCGATACAACCACGAGTACAGTGCACCAGTCGCATATTGTGTAAAAAGCAGCATCACATAAAAGTACTACTCAGTACTTTTACGTTAAATGGTCACACACCAGGGTTCCATGCACACTTAAAAGTTAGAACGACCTTGTAAACCATGATAAAAACATTACCACGTGAAAGTACTTCTCAATGGCTTTCACTTGAATGGTTACACACTTGGTTTTCATCCGCAGACNCTAAAGAAGCCGTAAAAGGCGAGTAAGAACAGAAAGTATAGAGTACGTTGAAAGGCTGATGATGGAGTATGACCTAGTGAACCGACCAGCTCGTGCAACACGGGCCGCGAAATTGGTAAACGGATATAACTTGTTGATTAAAAATGCCTGCGTAGGATCGCATAAACCTTTCAATTTGTGCGCGTAACTGATAGCGGGCAGATAAGATTTAATGGTCGAGGAGGCTAATTTCCGTGCGTGGAGATAAGAGATAAAGAGGGCCAACGAAGGCATTGATATGGGTTAATCGGGATTTAGCCCAAGCTCTCTGGTAAAGTTTGTGTGTGCCCGACGACAGTGCGAAATTTAACAAACCCTTCAGCACAGGGACCAATTCTCTGGCAGAAGGTAGGTGGGAACTGGAGTTGGCAGTTCGTCCGCGCCGGGCGAGAGTTGCTTGAACTGCTCGTCCTGAAAACGTGAAATGTAATCCGCACCAGTATTATGCACGCCTGGAATGTGACGCGCTCGAAACAAAATATTATATGTAAGTGATGTTAAAACCAGATCGCGAACTAAAATCATGACTACTGGATGTTTAGAGGTCTGGTGATTAATGATATTGACAATAGCAGCATTATCCGTGTAAAAGGCCACGCATTTGTTGGCCATAAGTGGCCCCCAAATGTGCAACGAAAGGACTATCGGAAACAGTTCTGAAAAGGCAATATTAAGGAGGTCCACGAAGCAGGCCACGCGCCGCAAAACCAATGCTTACCAAAGATGGCACCATAGCCTTTAGAACCGGCTGCATCAGTAAACAGCTCGAGGGAAGACGACGTTTCCCATTTATCATCCAAGAAAAACGTTATGCCATTAACCTTATCCAAAAATGTGAGCCAAGTGGCCATGTCGGACTTGGCTTCTTTACTTAGACGAATGCGGTGGTACGGGCGCTTGGCCCCTTTGGTAAGATCAATCATGCGGCGAAGAAAGGCGCGGCCTGGGACAATAACTGAACAGGTAAAATTTAAAAGGCCTAATAGAGACTGCAATTCCCTAAGAGTAACTTTACGCCGTTTATAAAAGTACGTAGCAACATACGACATTTCTGAAGCTTATCGACCGGCAGCCTGGCTTCCTGCATTACCGAGTCAAGCGTGATTCCCGCAAACTGTAAAGTATCTGGGCCGACAGTTTTTTCCTGTGCTATGGGCACACCGATGTACTCGCACAAGCTAAGAAAATTAGTTCAGTCGTCATGGCATTTTTCTTGGCTATCAACAATAAACAGGAAATCGTCTTAAGTGTGTAGGACCCCCGAAGCTCCCAAACGGTTCATGGCAGGCCATTCTAGTGCCGTACTAAAAGCTTCAAAAATAGCGCATGAAAAGGAGCAGCCCATGGGGAGACAGCGATCGAAGTGGTACAAGTTTTACCATTTCATGCCCAACGAAGCAAAGTCATTGGGTTGAATTGGTATGATTCGAAAAGCGGACTTGACATCTGTTTTCGCCATAAAACAACCAGGCCCCTTCCGTTTGATGACGGATATGGCATCGTTGATTGACGCATAGTGAACTGACGAACAATCTTCAGGAATGAAATCATTAACAGATGAGCCGGGGGGATAGGATAGATGATATATAAGACGAAATTCCGAGGGATCCTTCTTGGGAACTATGTCTAGCGGGGAAATTTTGAAAAGGCGGTTCGGAATACGGGCCCACGATGCGACCGGCCTCGTGTTCCTTGTTTAATTTGGAAACAACGATTTGTGGCTGCTCGAGAGCGCTTTTCAGATTGGGGGATTCAAAAGAGTGCCGCTCACCCACAAAATTGATACGAAAAACGGAAGAAAAGCCAGAAACTTAATACTCTCTAAGGGAAGCAGGGTAGCCGTGTAGAAGATATTCAAGCCTGTCCACCTTTACGGACGTGACCGGCCGGCTGAGCAAGACTAGATCCATGGGAAGAGCGGCACGTTGTTAATTAACGACGGAGCACTGGCTGGCTGGGTGCTTGGCACCGCATTTGAAACAATTATGCTCGAATTTGCAACCACCACAGTATTTGCCTCCGTGAAATAACCAACAGGTCCCTTTTGCTGGTTTTCAGTGTCACGCAATTCAAAATAGATCAAAATAAAAAAAAAAACAAAACCGGTCAATAGATAAAATCCAGAATCCGGGAAATCAAAGAAGGTAAATATGCAAAACCTCTCGCCAAAATTCTGGTCACAGCAATTTTTCTTATGCGAGATATGCGGAGAAATTTTTTCCCCAGGTTTACTGAGATTTGTATGGAGACGCCATGCTGGTGACCATCCGTATGGGCACCAACATGGCGGCCGGAACCAACAGAAACATTTGTCACTGAGTTTTGCTACAAAAGCGTGAATTTATCCCTCGAGAAACTCTAAAACATTAAAATGATACTTTTTCTAAGACATGAACTGTTCAGATAGCCAAGTTCCCCGAAATAAGTCACTTTTTTAACCATCATGACAGCTCTCTTGGCTGTCATGTAAATGCCGCGTCACGCAAAAGCTTAGAAATTCAAACGTAGTGTATCACAAAACGAGGAACCCATTCGGAGCGAAAATTTGTATGAATATTAGTATTCAGCAGCTCTTATACATCATTAAAGTAAAATCTCAGGAAGATCAATAGTTTTGTAGTTTGAATTTCACTAACGTCATGTGAAAACCAGCTATTTGGGAAAGGACTGTCAAGGCCTAGTGTGTGGAGATGCCATATCCGGCTTAGGTTGCGCGGGTCTGGCACGAAAATTTATAACCGCCTTAATGCATAGTTCCCAATGAATGGGTCCCAAGGATACTGGTCAGGGGCTGACTGTCATATGTAACGACACGCTTTTCTAAAGCGTTTTTACTAAAATCCGAATAGTATTGTAATTTCTTTGAATTTTAGATTTTAGTTAGGTATAAATTGTACTTTAACGGTTGTAATTTTTAACCTATAACTTAGTTGTTTTAGAATTTTAGTTTTTAAGCTGTAAGTTTTACTTTTAGCGTGTAACGTTCATTTTTTATGTATTTTAATTGT